AGCAGAGACGTTCCCATGGGACTTTCCGTGCCTGTATATTCTCATGGAACTTTCCGTGCCTGTATGTTCTCATCCTGTTGAGGTCATTGTTTTGGATTCTGTACTTTCGATTTCTTTCTTAAATGCTACCTGAGTTCGCTCGGGGCTGGCATTTGCTCACACATTTCCCTGCGTCTCATTTCAAGTGCCAGACCACCACAGTGAATCCTCTTATGGGAAGTTAAGGGCATCGGAGATCCTGAAGCATTTTCCACACTCTGCACATTTATACGGCTTCTCTCCGGTGTGGATCCTCTTATGTAAGTTGAAATTGCCTTTTTCTGTGAAGCTCTTTCTGCACATCTTGCAGTGATATGGCTCTTCCCCTGTATGGATCCTATTATGTAAGCCTAAATTGCTGCTTCTGCTGAAACTTTTTCCATACTCCAAGCATTCATGGGGTTTCTCCCCGTGTGGATTCTGCTATGTACATCACAGCTTTTTTTTTGCACTGAAGCTCTTTCCACACATGCGGCATTCATATGGTTTCTCCCCAGTATGGAGCCTTTTGTGGCAAGTGAGGCCCCACGAATGGGTGAAACATTTGTCACACATGGTGCACTTATAGGGCTTTTCGCCTGTGTGGATTCTTTTATGGGTGTTCAGATGACTTTTTTGACTGAAGCACTTCCCACGCTTGGTGCATTGGTTTGGTTTCCCTCCTCTGGGCATACTAGATGGGAAGTTAAGATGCTGGATGTACAGAAGCTCTTTCCACACTCTAGGCATTTCTACGGTATCTCCCCTGTGTGGGTCCGTTTGTGGGCACGAAAGCTGTCAGAACGGGAAAAGCGCTTTCCACATTGCAGGCACTGAAAGGGTTTCTCCCCCATGTGGATTCTGCTATGTCCGATATAGCTACTTTTTTCACGGAAGCTCTTTCCACACTCCATGCATTGAAAGGGTTTTTCTCCTGTGTGGATCCTCTCATGTGACTTCAGATGACCTTTTTTCCTGAAGCTCTTTCCACACTCCAGGCATTTGTATGGTTTCTCTCCTGTGTGGATTCTGTGATGGTCAGTAAGGGATTCAGAGCGACGGAAGCTCTTTCCACACTCCATGCATTGAAATGGTTTTTCTCCCGTGTGGATCCTCTCGTGTGACTTAAATTGACTTTTATCACTGAAGCTCTTTCCACACTCCAGGCATTTATAAGGCTTTTCCCCAGTATGCATCCTATTATGTATGGTTAGAGAAGAGGTGTTGCTAAAGGTTTTTCCACACTCCAAGCATTTATATGGTTCCTCCCCAGAATGGAGCCTTTTGTGGCA